TTGGAGAGAATTTAATCAGAAAGTTTATCAAAAAAAGTCGTTGAAAGGTGTGTTCCACTAGTCGAGAGGAGTCGTCAAGTGAAAGATAGGAAGACGGTCTTCTTAATCTAATTTTATATAATTCATTCATTCATCGAGGAGGACGACGTGCTTTCTCTTTCACGGCATTAATCAGAGCGAGTTAAATTTAAATAGTTTGTTTTACAACTTTAGTCTCGGAATGAATAAATCATTTCGTTCCATTCCCACATTTGGGTTTCGTGGGGTTAATTAGATTTCGGGAGGAGGAGGGAAATTAGAGCTTAAATAAATCGTAAACAGGTAAAGTTTAATAATGGAGGTGGGTGGATGGGTAACTTTACGTGATGCTTAGAAGCCGTTATGCACTAATTTAAAGAAATTTTAAAGGTACGAAATTTTAGGGTTGTGAAATTAAAATGATTATAATTTACAAAATAAATCTTAAATTATAGTTTAAAAATGGCGAGTAGTCGATGGAACTTTACGAAGTTTGCTGTTTAGTTTGTAAAGATTTTTATGAACTTTAAGAAATATTGATGGTGCAGAATTTTTGGGATACGAAATTTGAATTATTATTTCCGAAACAATTGTATTGTTACCAAATAAATTGTAAAGAGATAGACTTTAAAAATAGCATGAAAAACGATGTGGTTTTATGTGGTAACAATCTTGTAAACTTTACTAATTTGGTACAGATTACAAAACAATTGTCCACAAATTGATGGAAAACTGATTTCTATGAAATTTTGCTTGAATTCTTTCGTGTGCAACTATTGCCAGCATTTTTCGCTAACAAATCGTTTTATCCAAGGCCATACTTGCATACCATTGATGACACTCTTTTGTTCTCATCATGCAGTAAAACTTGGACCGATTTTTCCATTCGTTTCGTGCGAATAAAGTGACAATTTTCCCGAAAATGGGAACAAATTCGACTTTATTTTATTACGAATGAAGTATGTAGTGAAAGGAAAAAGAGAAAGTCTTGTCTGTCTCTGGGACGTCATGTGTCTCGCGAAGAAAAAAGTCATGCGAGTGAAATGGTCCGATTTTGTGATGCAGCCAAATCTCTACATTCTCGATAAGTACATATCTCTGTATCATTGACTTATCGAAGGTTAACTGTGTACTACAAGATAAGGATGACGCAACTCGCCGTTTTGGCAGATACTGCTACAGTTACTTCTGACTTAAATTTTTGTATGCAGATTTTTTACCCGTTTTCTGCCTTCTCACATTTTATATTTGAATAATGTTTCGTGATTGTGATGATTTTTTGATTATGAATGGATCACGTATGACAAAATTACAATCACAATCAAAAAAGAAGTACAGAGTTGATTGGGAGTAATTTTTTGTTATTATGATTGAAATTTTGATTATAAAGATATTATAGGCGATCCATCTACAATCATAATTACAATCACAGAAAAATATTAGAGTTGAGCAGGAGTAATTTTTTGTGATTGTGATGCTACTTAATTCTGATTGCAGATGAATTACCTCTAATATATTTACAATCAAAATTACAATCACAATCACAAAAAAAATCATTCTCTCACAATCTCTCTATTTTATCTTGATTACTTAAAACCCCCTTGAAAATAGAGTCCTACAAGAACTTGAGAACTTTCTCCTCGTGTGAAATTTACTCTTAAGCACACCAGACCACTTTCACTCTCTCGCCCGTCCACCACTTGGCCAAGTGTTGCCTTAATTAATTAATTACCCAGACGCGAGAAGGTAGTACGTACGTTGTCCTCCTATTTCTCCCCTCTCTCTCGTTCGCGTAATAAATGACACGACATAATTATTGCGAAACATTGCAGCAAAGAAGAAGGGGAAGAAGAATTGCGAACATATGTTACAACACGTTACGTAACGTTCAGTATAACTTGAGGAGAGAAATCGGGAAAACTTCTTTGGAGCTGAGAAACTTGCACAATTGTCATTGAAGTGAGAAAGTCGGTTGTTAGTGTTGCATCATGGACGGAAAGCGAGTGGATGGAGGCTAGCAATGCGGTTATGATGCTTCTCAAGGTTTTATTCTCCCTTGGAAAGAGAAAGCAGGCCGTCCACATTTCTACGTCTTCAGCCTGCTTTCCCTGCCTGGGTGACAAGCAGAACGGAGGTCAACTATTTATATAATAAAGTTTTCTTCTTCTTCTTCTTCTTCTCGTCCTAAAAAGGGAAAGTTTTAACGTGATTAAACTTTGATAAGTGGGTGGACTAGGAGAGATAGCGGGCGGAAAGGGAGGAAATTCGAGATTTAAAGATTTATACGGAATAATGGGCAAGTCTTCTGCTCCTTCGGCTTCTTTTAAATAGTGGAGAAAGGCACGGCGGAAGAGGAAGGGGGACCTATTCAGCTTGTCCCGATGAACAGAAAGGGGTGGAAGTTGGCAGGGGAAAAGTGTAGAGTGGGAATTGGACGGTCACTTTTAAATATGAATTTATCCACGGTTTTACTTACTAGACACACGTGTGTATCGGCACACGTGGCTAACAGAAGATCAAAATTAGCACAGATTATTTTTTCTAAATCTCTTTTTTACTATTACTTGATTTACACCAATTATTAATCAAGGAATAACATGAGAATATTAGTGAACGACTATATCAACCGACCCACAAAACTACCATGTTAAAATTGTAAAATCTGCCATGTTAAAAGTTTAACTAATGCCAGAGTTGACACGAATGGGAGGTTTTAACTTATGTCTGGTCGGAATTTTGGTTCGGCACATAACTATTTTGGAAAAACCGGCATTTGACCAAGAATGAAACCTTGTTGTCGGGTTTTCGCCCCAGTTGGCCCCGAGAAAAGTGACGCGGCGTATGTTTGTCCTTGTAGTTTGACTAACTCGTGATTGATCACCACCACCTTGAAGAATCCTTCCTACTTTCTCTCTCTCAGGCTTATCTGTCTCTCTCTCGGGATAAAGTAGGGAACGAAATAAAAGATAAGCATAAGTAGAGAATTGTCTCCTTGGAAAATCAATTCGATTTATCCAACAGAGTTTAGCAGCATCAGCAGCAAGCAGTAGGGGAAGCAGGAGAAGCTTGGATTGAGTGACACGAGTGAAAATAAATGAATATTATGCCCGAACTAGATTTGCTGTTGCCTGGATGGGATTTACTTTCGGGAGAGATTTATTTTTTACGAGATTTACTACTTTTTTTACAGAGATTTTTTATTTTTTCCACTGGAAAATATGCCGTAAAATAAAATACTAATCGGAGAAAGTTTAGTGAGAGTAAAATTTATTGGGAGATTTTTTATGGTGGGGTGGATTGATTTTTTTTATAGAGCGGAGAGAAATAAGGTGATAAGGAGTAAAAATTTTTGCAGGGATCAAAATTTATGTCAAAGTTTAAAGGCGCATTTTCCGAGACAAGTGGGAAGTCGAAATGGGATAACTCGAATGAGTAATGATCGAATTTTCAGGGATATATTTTTGAAAATATAAATTTGTACTAGTTTTACGCCAGAAATTTAAATATGGGATTGTAAACATTGGAAGTTTTGATCAGATTAATCGGGAAGTAGACGGCAAACAAAAACTGACAATGGTTTTCTATATTCTCCAATCAAGGATGTGGTGATGGGGCGTTAATTATTGTCTTACATAAATTTGTACCATTTTTATGCCGGGAATAGAAATATTGACAATTAAGGAATACTAGAATTTAAAAGGTTGAACGAGAGCGTGGTAAAATTTCAGATCAACTTACAGGATTATTAATTACAGATTAATAGGCGCTCTTAATTTGGATTCAAACAAGGATGTGACTTTAGTGCCATACGTATCATGAAATTTGTTGAAATGATAAATAAAATCAGATCAAGTGGGAACTTTGAAAAATTTATATGAAATTTGTTCCGCTTTTTTTAGAACAATTTTGGAACTCTGCAACTTGATTCTGGTAGTTCATTCGAAATTTGTAGAAATAGCGGTTTAAAGATTAAAAGGAAATATTGTACAAATCTATAAAATGTTGAAATTTATAAGAAATATGAAATCCGATTTTTTTAAAGTTTTGGAACCCTGCGACTTTCGTGATCCTGGTAGTTTTCCATTACAGAGAAAGCAATACTGGCGCGCTGTGCGATGACATAACACGATAAGAAAGATACATAACGAAGAATAAATTGAAAGTAAACATTTCCTCGGGTTTTATTATCTCATCCCTCGCTCCTTGTCCCATAAGCGAAACATTTATGCACATATTTTCAGAATTTCAATCTCCTATCTGCACTCCCAGAATCAAATTGGGATCCACCTCGGAAGTGGAGGAGGAGCACGTGCGAGGTTTGCGAGACAGATTTTTTGTGCATTTTTTGGAGATTCCATATGCCTATTTACTCTAAAACACCCACGAAAAAATTTTCTAAAACCTGAAAATATCTTCAAAATTTTTAAAATTATCCACATTCTAAAATTCTCGCTGTTCGGCATCTTAAAATTCTAAAAAACGAAATTTCTAAAAACTTTGCTAACTGGGGACAAAATATGACTTTTCCGACATGACACGTTCTCCTCCTCAAACTTATATAAATTCACTTTTTACTCAATCCACAATTATATAATCCTTGACATTCTGAAATCTTAAGAAAATCTAGAATGTCCAAAATTTTGAAGCTGAAAGTCATGAAATCTCCAAAATTTATCAAACAAATAAATTACAAACTTTGCTATTTGGCGTCAAAATTTGCCCTTGCCAAAATTGTACGTTCTCCTATTCAATCTTAAATTCACATTTTATCCAATCAACAAGTACATACATATTCCTCAAAATCTGAAAATCTTATGAAAAATAACAATCTTAAAAATTTCTAATGCTCAAAACTTTAAAATCTGCAAATTTCACATAAAAACAAAGTTCTTAAAGTTTTGCTATTCGACGTCAAAATCTGACTGCCAATGTCTCACATTCTCCTCAATCTCATCATAACTTTCACTTTGGTAAATCCACAGGTATGTCCAGAGCAGGAGTGGGACGACGAAGTACGAGCTAGCCATCGACCTCTTCCTCATGTCCTCGTCATCCTCGTCACTCGTCCCCCGCGTGTCCACCTAATGCTGGCAGGATCATGCTGGACGAGGAACACGCCAGAATCCTGGACAAGCGTAAAAGTGGGGGCGGTGGTGGGTCACGTGTCCTGCGCTTCTTCCTCTGGCTGTCCTGCTGGGGGTGGAACTTGCGGCGGCGACTGCACCTCGTCACGGCCAAGAGATGGCTCTTCCTCGTCATCCTCGCCACCACGGCCTACGTCATCTACTCCTCCTGCGGTAAACCTGCCCAGGTCCATCCACCGCTTTATGGGTGAGCACAACAGTTTTTCGTTTTTTGGTCAATTGGAAAATTTATGAGGTTATTTATCAGTGTTACGTTTTAAGCAAGTGTCGCAAGAAATGCGAGGTGCCACGCGTCTGTCGGGAAGAAGTTTCTTGCGCCTTGCACTTCTTGCAGGTCAAAATACCCGATTTGCGGATTTTACAAGATTACCGTGTAAATTGGTTCTTTCATAATGTGTAAAACTTTAAAAAGAAGCGAAATTCTCAAAATTTTTGTTTTATCGACTAACTTTTTTTTATTTCTGAATCTTCTCGTGGAAGGAGAGACGAAAACATACAATAGAATTTTAAAATTTTACAAGGTTTACGAATGTTATTAGGTTTAAGAATTTTACTAGATTACAAAAGTCACATAGTGAATTGGTTCATTATTATTCTGTAAAAGTAGTAGAGAAAGCAACGAAATCCTTACAATTTTTTGTCCCCTCTTTTTCAGAATTAATTTGTATCTCGTGAAAATGGGAGACTTTGACACTTTCTTTAATTTCTGGTTCCTGTCAGAAACTAAACTTTTTGTGTATAAGTAAATAATCATTTTCCGCCCGGTTGGCCCCGCTTGATGAGAACGACAAGATGAAAATTAAAGACGATGTCACGATACAGACAACTTTTTCAAAGTATTCAGTCTCCAACCAAAGTTTTGTGGAAATGATGATGGCAAAAAGTTGAGAAAAAAATTGTGCAATTTAAAATACGATTTATTTTTAGGAGAAAATTAGAATTAAAAATTAGTTAACAGATGTAACAGACGACACAGAGAAATTATTTTTTGTAGAATGTGACTCCAACTCAAAGTTAGTAGAATGAAGACTTTACAAAACAACGTTTAAAAATTTTAATGAGGTGTTTAAATCGATATTTTTGCACATATTATACAAATTTTGCATTTTTTTAAATTTGGAACAGGAACAAATTGTGCAATTAGACATCCGATTTATTTTTTTATGAGAAAAGTATAATGAAAAATGGTTAAAAGATACAAAAGGCGATGCATCCTAACTTTTTTTATTGAAGAATGATTCGAATTGGATGTTGGAAGGATGAAATTTTTGCAAACAACGTGTAAAAAAAATTAAATTGATGTTTTTTTGGAAGATCTCATTTTAATTTAGCATATTTTGAAAGTTTGGAAAAGCAGAAAGAAATTGTGCAATTTAAAACCCAATTTATTTTTTTCGAGAAAAATTGTAGTTTACTTTGTTAAAAGGTTGAAAACATTGGTCGCAGCAATTTTGTGCAAAATCTGATCCGAAGTTGAAAACCCGTTTTGCAAAAAGTGTAGAGACAAAATTTTACTCGACTTCTAAACTAACGACGATCAAATTAAAATTCGGAAATATTAAATTGAAATTGCCCATGCATTTATTCTTTTTAGAAAAAATATTCTCATAAAAGTTATAGCTCGCTATAAAATTGAAATGTTTGAATATTTTGCCCAGCCTGATGCGAACCCGTCCAGAAGTGTTGTACCGGTGTCCCACGCTGTCCTCGAGTGGGGAAAGAATGCGAAAATATATCGACCACGCCACGATCAGCGCTGGTGGCGGAAACCGCGTCCGGATGAAGATTGATCCCAAAGTGTTGCTCTTTGTGGAAACAACTTTTTCCAAATTGGGCCGAGATTTAGCCGAGCTTCTGGTTCACAATAGGATGAAGTAAGTAAAGTGAAAAGTTAGTCATTTACGTAGTTGCGCAATTTATTAGCCAAGTGACAACGTCGCCGCTCTCTCTTGACGTCCCAATTTTATGAGGAGCCAGAGAGAAACTGAATGTGACTAACTAACCGCAACAAAAAGCCGCAACCAGTCAGTCAGCCCAATTTTGCAAAGTCAGGAGGAGAGCGGCGACATTTGACAGTCGCAGATTTTTAGGCCGTTCGGAAATTTTGAAAGTTACTGAAGGATAATTTGATGCCAGGGTCACATGTAGGTCCACTTAAATTGGTGAAAAACAAAAAAAAAATATATTTTTACTGGTTCAAATCTTTACCGAATTTTGAACTTTTATCAGATTTTGAAAAGCTTCAACTTACTCTAATAATACTACTAAATAAACTTAACATTTTTAAAAGACAAGTTATTTCCCAGGAGATTTTCGAAGCAGTAAAAAAATTAGATTGAAGCCGAAAAACGTGAAAAAGTCCTGTTTTTGATAGTTTAAATCCTCCCAAATAATCTTATCAGATTTTGAAAATTCTTGTACCATTGAAGTCCCAGATTTGTCATATCAAATATCCCCTTCTTAATTTTGATTCTTTTCAAGTAAACACATTTTCGAAAATATTCTAAATTTCCAAAAAAATTAATCTTGTTGTCTATGCCATTAAATCTTACTTTCCCGAAACTTACAAAATTTCCAACGATATCCAAATCTGAGGTCGACAGGTAGAGAGGCTCTCCTCCTCAGTCAGTCAGTCGTCCAGATTTAGCGCCATTATTTTCAGGCCTGAGTAACCGTGAGTGAGTGGCGTGAACACTAATCCTGTTCTTCGTCCGACCTGATGGTTGACACGCCACCGCAAAATGTTTCTGATGACGGGGACACAAAATGGAATAATTTATCCCATTTTTCTTTGTTTCAGGTATAAAGTAGAAGTTTCTGGGAAATCGTTGCCCGTGCTGCGGAACGGGGAAAAGGGTCGCTTTTCGACAATTCTTTTTGAAAATTATACCAAATATTTATCACTGGATGAGTGGAACAGGAACATTTTGGACAAATATTGTGCCGAGTTTGACATCGGAATTGTGGGTTTCATGCCCTCCAGAGATGAAACTTTTGTGGGAGCGGAACTCAGAAATACGGCCGCGTCCTTGCTCATCGACACCAACGTCAGGATTAAGGTAAGCATCCTATTTTTACGTGTTTTATTTTTGGCATATTGCATATTTATGATGAGGGAGAGTGGTTTTAATTGTGGAAGATTGGAAATTTCGTGATTTTTTTTGGTGACGAGGAGCAAATCTAAATATCACCTCAAACAAATTCAGTAAAATGCACTTTTTTTGGCCCAAACATAAATCAGAAAAGATGTGGAATTATAAGTTTTAAGTTTTTTAAAGGTTCCCAATTTTTTTTTCTTGTGCACAGGAGATGAAAATATAGTCGAGTTTTTGGTCGAACATAAGTTCCTTGAAAAATGTAAAATTGAGATTTTTCAGATTTTATCAGACTATTGAGAGAGGCAAAATTTTTTATTTTTTTAAGCAAGCAAGAACAACGAGGTAAAAGTATGGTTGATTCTTTGTCGAAAATCATAAATTGGAAAAGTCATTGAAAAATGTAGAATTGCAATTTTTTAACGCTCACAAAAAGTTTTCTTTTATTTTCACCTCACACTTTTCCCTTTTCTGGGTCCAATTAAATTCTAAAGTCTGTTATCCACGTACGTTTTACGGGGTAACAAGTCCGGCGAAATCAATCGAGAATTCGTGGAAAAGTGTGGAATTGTAATTTTCCCAATTTTTTCCAACATCACAAAACAATTTTGCCTATTGTACCTGCGTCCGATTAAATTCTTCACTCCGTTGTCCAAAAAACAACGAGGTTTTATATTCTTGAAAAGAAATAAATTGCAACTTCATCGTTTCTCGATGCACAAAAAATACATGTTTTTTTTGTCTATCACAAAAGAGAATTAGTTGGTGACTTTGCATAGAAAGAAAGAAAGGAAGAAAGAGAGAGAAAATTCTGATCAATTCCTGAAAAAAGAGAGAAAGCAACCTTTCCCGCCTTGAAGATACTTTCTCTTACTTTCACTTTGAGAGTGAAATATATGGAAAAAATGAGCTCGTTTAATATTGCATGGCTGGATTGTTAGTTTTTTTTTCTTCTGTGTGTGTGCATGTGTCCCCTTTTATAAAGTCACAATGCGCCCATAACGAGACGAGAGACGGACGACGAATCCTACTTTTTTTCTTTCAAAGGAAATATTGAAATCACAAAGGAATTGGGTGTACGAGGAGGAAAAGGATTGTGTTCTTCGCCGTCTTTTTCCTACGTACATATGTCGCAATCGGGGGTTTGGGATTATTATTTGAGAGTAAAGGAGGAAGGCAGGGTAGTTTTTGAGAGATGGATTTTGTCCGTCCGCCAAATTTTCGAACCATTTTGACTCCTGGTTTAAAAAATTGGTACACAATATTTCGGATAAAATAAAGTATTTTTCAATAATTTGGTACAATTAAATTTCAAGTATTTAAATTTTAAATATGCTTGAAGTCAAGACCATAACCTAATCAAGGTGTGTTAATCTGTAGTTTACAAAAGTTTCCTTTTGGGCTGCCTAGTCCCGCAAAAGTGGGAACTTAATAAGTAGCGCAACGAAACGAGTTATTTCTAATATTGCATTACCTTGTGAATGAATTACATTTTAACTATTTTGATTTTTGATATTTATTCGTAATCATTTCGGTGATTTTGATCTGATAATTTTATTAATTTGAAAATATTTCCTTGTAACAACTCCTGCAAAAGGTATGGAATTTTTAAGAACTCTGGGAAGTTTTGATATTTTAGGAATTTATATGATCGAAAGCGGACAAACTTTAATAAATTTTACAGCTTAACATGTATTTAGTTATTTCGATCGATTTATTCGTCCAATTTTCAAAAGCGTCAACTTCGTTTTCGGAAATTTTTCTGATTTTCTAAGGCAAAAGGAACTTCGTTTAGCGGTGAACTTCATGGCGTAGGGTCAAGGTACATACTTCACAATTTGCACTTCGCTTCCGCTACTTTATTACATGTGTTGCTGGAATTTATTATTATTGTATTTATTATTGGCTTGTTAGGAAATGGAGTACATAATTTTATTTTTTACCGTTATTTCATCATTTTTCTAACATATTTCTGGTTTTGCTCTTCTGCTACATCAATTCCCTCCAGCACCGAGACAGAAAGAGTAAAAAGCTAGAGCCTGATAAATTTCTGGGGCAGGTTTCCGTCATGATTTTTGTGGCCATTAGGATAAATTTGGTTTGAGATGACCATATTTTGGGGCGATTTGGAATCAGTAGTACTTTCTACCATTCTGGTATTTTGTGACCAAATGATAAGTACTTATAGTGTCCCCTATGTGACTTCGTAGTCCTTGTAGTTCATACGAAATTAGTAGAAATAGCTGTAAGATTAAATCGAAATATGGTAAAAATTGAATTTTGTACAATTTTTACGCCAGAAATATAAATATATTGATGAATATATAATTGTTACAATTGAAAGATGAGTACGGTCCTGGGGGTATCAAGATCAATAAGTAAAATTTATGCAGATTAAAGGAATATATTAACAACATCACTTGGGTTTTACATGTCATAAAATTTGTTGAAATGACAATTAAAATAAGATGAAATGGTGGGGTACTTAATTTAGAGGCGCCCTTTAAAATTTCCAAAAATATAAAATTAAATTAAGTAGACAAATAGACAGACTTAAAGCAAAATTTCATATTACAAATTGTTACGCATTTTCAAATACCTAATTAATGCAAAATAATGCCCAATTTTGCATGGGAATGAAAATGAATTTTATTTTTAAGTAATTTAAATAAGCAAAATAAAAAACGTATAAACTGTAAATCTCGTCATAAATCTTGAAACTGAGGAGGTCAAAAAAAAGGCGTCAATAAATTTACCCTGGAATAGAAACTGAACTATAAAATACCTAATCAACGGGAAATAATGCCCTATTTTGCATAAAAATTAATTTTAGGTTGTCATTTTTAAGTAATTTACTAATATATATATAACGTTTAACTGTAAATCTGGTCATAAATTTTGAAACTGGGGTTACAAAAATCTGCTATTTGTTTACCCGAAATAGAAAGTGAATCCATCTCTGGGGCGGATTTGTATCCGATAAGGGGAGAAGAGCGGAGAGGATAGAAAAGTAATTTAACATTTTTGATTAGCGAGAGATTTGTCAGCGGGATCAAGAGGACCTTTCCTCCTTCAAGAAGAAGAGGGGGAGGGAAAGATAACGAACTTTTCTAATGCGAAAATAACCCTCGTTCCTATGTCGAGTATCGATCCGTCTTGTATGTAGGATGTCATCCTCAAGACTCTATTTATGAAGGAGATAAAACTGGTAACAAATTATGACCGGGATCGGTAACGATTTTTGGACAGGAAATACATAGCTTCGAACTTCAGTAAATAATTTGTTACGACTGGTTTGACATGGAATTGTTCGAGAAATCTGATAAAAATAGTCGAAATCGTACTCGAAAGTGGTAGAATTACTCAAGTTATGGTAAAATTGTTTCAAACCTGGTAAAATTATTCAAAATTTTATAATATTACTTCCAAGCGGTAAAATTATTTCTTTGATAAAATTATTCTAGAAATCTGGTGTAAATTAGTCGAAATCCGGTAAAAATTAGTCGATAAATCTGGTAAAATTATTTTAAATCAGTCCCTGGAAATGGGACTGGTCGAGTTATGTGCACATGTACGTGAGCTCCACGGCGTTCCCTAAAGCAGCTAAATAAGTACACATGGCGTTATATGTAATTTAATTTGCCATTAAATAATTCCGCTATTTAGCCCTTTTACGGAGGTTAAATGGAGGGAGGGCAATTTGACCAGATGCTGACTCCTCGTCCTCGTGGGTTGGTGGGTGGGTGTACACATTCGTGGAAATAATGGACCTGACTCTTGCAAATAAAACGTATCAAGACCAACATTACGATTACGATTACGATGCGATGCGATGTGTGATGATGAGAGGAGCGTAAATACCTCGGCTCTTTTCTCCAGACAGAGAGTGAAACTGAGTGAAAATTGGACATTCACTTTTATGTATGCATCAGACCATGCTGCTAACTTTCACGGGGGTCCCGATAAACATGGCGCCACGTGGGCCTAAGGTAGTCAAAATTGGTTTAAAGAGGGTCAAAGTGGTGGCAAGACTACGAAGTGTATTTTCAAAGTGTAATTTAGGCCAGATTTCCATTTTACGTTGACTTCTTCCCGATAAACATGGGGGAACGTGGCCAAATTCAGGTCGAACAGCGGTCATGGTAAAAGTGCAAATTTTGGTGCAATTTAGGGCTTGTACAAACTTGGATTTGGAAGGGCGATGGTGTTTTCCATAGTTTGGTTTATCTAGAAGTTTGCTGAAAAACCGGCATTTTGGTCACGTCTACTTCATGTTTATCGGGTTTCTCGAGCCCACTCGTTTTTATTGGAATCCGTGCAACTAAATAAAACCCGAAACACAATAATTATTCTGAATTGTATTGCGCACTTAAATACTTGAGAATTTACATGACTTTTACCCACCTGGGCCTGTAAAAGTCGGGCTGCTTTCATTCTACGATTTAAAGTTAAGGCTGGCTTTGGTCGTGAAATTTGTCAACTTTAAACCGAATTTTCTCCTTTATGATGAAGAAAATATATATATAAAGATAGGTGCAAATATCTTCGCCAAACGTGCGCATTGGGAGATGGCGTCTTTTGCAAATTTCATACTAATTAAACTTGTGATCGATGGACACTAATTTGGTCAAAATCGGACAGAAAACGCTGGGAGACCTCGGTCTTTAGTTACCTAAGTTAAATACCTGAATTTGGACGTAAGTGAAAGTGGGTCCGATTTTCTTGCTGCTTTCACTTTAAGATTTATAATTGAAGCAAGGTAGCCTTGCTCTGGGGAAGGAGGAGAGCTGTGTTCTTTTTTTGGTGGCTGGCTGCTGGTCAGGTGGGACTTTCTCCTTGTGCGTTGGTTTTGTGTGGCTGCTCCTCCAGCGGTCAATACTTTTCTCGTTAGATATTTGATCCCTTTGGGATTCAGGATTGATCCATTTTTCATCCAGGTTGGCTTTCCTCTCGTATTCCGGTCA